CAAGTGATTTTTTTCTAAAAGACCGCACTGTATACTTATGTGGGTGCACAAGTGTGTACACGTGTACATAACCATCCACACGCCCATCAGTGGTTTCCTAGGGTAAAAATCACACTCTCCACCATGGCCTGGAAGGCCCTGTGTGACCTGCTCTCAGCCTACCTCTCCCCGTCGCTAGTAAGCTCAGACTACACTTGCCCTCTCTGTGTTCCTAGAATGTATCAAGCTCTCCCGAAGCTCATGACCATCAGACCTGCTACTCCTGCTGTGGGGAATGCTTCGTCTCCTGCCCTATGCAAGGCTGCCTCCTTCTCATCCTTCAAGTCTCAACTGAAATGGTCCTTCCTCAGATAAGCCCTTCCTTCCCTGATGGCCCAATCTGTAGTGTCACTGCTTACTATACTTTTCCATTTTGAGGAAATAATTGCTTCCCCTGCTCCCAAAAGCATCTGTGTTGTTCATGCTCTGAATGACTGACTTGCCTCGTTCCTGGTTTGCTTTTGCAATCCTGGAATCTCACTGTTCTAAAACAGCTATCCTAGACTGACTTCTATTCTGCTATTTGATCTTAGAAATCACATTGATTTTTACTTTCTATGCAATCACTAGAAGATTTATTTTAATTTGTCAAGGCTTAAGAGTGAAGAGTATTTATATATTTAAATTAACCTATACTGTTTAAAAACTAACAGGAAAAAGAAAACACATGCCAACAACAACAAAAGGAGGCACATGGATGGGGTGGTAGAGAAAATAAAGTTCAGTACCAGGTTACAGCCTAGCTTTGCTCTGGGGGAGAAAAAAAAGAACTTAAGTCCTAACCAAATAGTTCCCTAGCTGTCTGGTCATGTATTGGCATGAAAAGCCTCCTCTTTTCCACAGTAACACAATCATCCTTTTGATGACTTGCCCATCTGATGAATTACAGTGTCCAAAACACAAAAGGAAAAATAATGGATTACTGTGCCATGTTTGCTGCTTTTATTTGTGAAAATCATTGTTTTCAGATACAGACCTACTATAACCCTCTGCGCTAACTGCCCTTACAAGATGGTGGGTTTCCTTGAGCAGTTTATATACCTCAAAGAAAACACACTGGTTCACCGCTCTCTATAAACTCTTGAATTTGCAATATAAGAGTTTTAAAACCTCAGTTTAAAACAAAGGCTGAAGCAGTGTTCCAGAATGAGGAACGATTTCTCTCAGGGCATTCATCAACACTGATCGCATTTATTCAGCGTTTGTATAAATTCTCTGTGGCAAGGCGCAAGGCTTGTGAAATATTTATATAAGTGGGCAGAGTTCTCAGATTCACTTGGAAAAAGTGCTCAGGTGCTGATGAGCTGAAAGATACTCTGACAACTATCATACAGTAATAATTCACTAAATTTAAATCACTACATTTGGGAATGTGGACATTTATTTGAGCCACAATTTATGGTCCCGCTGCACATTTTTTCTGCGGTCTCATAAAACTGTATGAAAGATTCTCCAGGAGCAGAATTCAGTAACTATACACACGAAAATGCCCACGAAAATATCTTAGGAAGTATCTCCATGTGTCTGTCTGAATCTGTTTTCTAAGTTTATTCCAGGAAAAATCAATCAAGGCCAAAGGGTATCAATCCTTCACTAATGAGAGAACATTTTTATCTATCAGCCTATCCAGTTTGTTTTTAGCTAATTATTTGAAACATAAATTGTTCGAATTTATATTTCAAAAAGATATCAGTAATAACAACCAAAAAAAGGTTTTTCGTGATAAATAGTAGTAAAATAGACATTTTCAAATTTACCATTACTATTTTTGTATATGTTTTGAGATTAATCAATCAAAAAAATGTTGGAAAACCACCTCTGGTAGGAAGGCTTCTGCACCAATTACTTGCTATTAGGTAGAAGGAAAAATTAAGTCCTTCATAAAGCATTCTAATTAAAATTAACCTTGTCTCTTTTAAGGAAAACCTGCCATTACCCCCCAAATTAGGCAGGGTAATAAGATAAATAAAAGGAAGCAACATTAATTTATTTCTTTGTGTACTTTTTTTTAAAACTACAAATGTGTAGCTAATTAGAATTCCAATACAAAAAATATACAAATTTACATGTCTCCCCTTAGGTGTAAGAATAGATGAACACATTATATTTTATATTTCCTTTCTCTTTGTTAGAGCACTGTATTTAAACAAATCCTCTGAAGTTGTGAACGGTTTCCCATATGCTGGAATGTTTGTTAAGCTTCAGTAAGGGTTTTTAAATTCAAAAAATGCAATTATGCAATGAATGTTTTATGTTCCTGTGAATAAACATTCATGTACACCAAAAAAACCCCTTGGAATTACAGTTTTTTGCCATTAATTAACAAGATCAAGAAAGTAAGTCACATAAAATACATCACAATTAAGTTAGGCCAGTAAAAACGTCTGTCCGCCATCTCATCAATGAGAAGTCAGCTAGCATTTATGTGTATTGACAGTGTCTAGAAAATTCAGGTTCAGAATGACAACTTCAAAACAAAACAGCGTAACGTTATTTTCTTGTGAGGGTAAGTAATAATATTTTATTTGCTCAGAAAAAGAATGGCTACCCTTCTAGGGTATTTCTGGGGGCCTCATTAACTAGATCAACATTTTCAGATCTCACTGGATTAGAGAAAGATTAACAGAAACCAGAATTATAATAAACTGTTTACCTCCATCTAGATTCTTGGAGGCCCGTTTACTAGAGGTGCGTTCGAAGTGTGGCGCTGGCCTGTCGATGAGGGTGCTGGCCTGGCGGGTCTGCGCTTGGGTACGGCCGCTGTAGCGGAATTTGGACCCCAAGGTCAGGAACTTGGCCTTTGGTGGCTGCTCTGGAGACACAAGCCTGTGGGCGGAAGAAGGGAATAAAATTAGATGTTATGGATTTTCTTTTAACTTCAAAACTATATATTTTAATATCTTATTAAGTATGATTATTTGGTCCAAAAAATGCTGCCTAAACTTTCTAATAAAAATGAACATTATTTATAAACTCTCCCATACAGAGCCTTATAATGAGATGAATAAACCCCCATTCACATATTTATGAATAATGTATTTTCCTCAACCGAGTAAAAGAGCAGCTGTTCTCAATGTGCATCAAAGGTTATTTATTTGTATCAACTTAAATCATTTATATAAACACATATGTTGGAATTCTTGCTCCTAGCTGTAAGTGCCAAGCAGCAATCCATTACTGTTAGTAATTGTTAATATTTATGTCTATTCCTCCTGGGAAAGAACATCTAATTTGGGAATCTGTTCCATCAAGTGTTTCCCGTGACGGACACAGCACACAGCAGATCTGTCAGGATGACTAACATCCTATCTTGCCAGCACAATTCTCCTGCTTAAACTCTGGGTTCAAAATGAATGAGGTGAAACTTTCTTGATGTCAAATACTTCCAGGCTTATGCAAAAGCATGTTTTCAGGAAATGAGCCAATCTTGTCTGGAATACAACTGAAATTATCTTATTTTCATTGCCTGATCAAGAGTTGGTGAAACATCTTAACAAAAAAGATAATCTCAGTGCACTTAAAGAATTTATTAATAAGAAGACTTTAGTTGACAATTCCAGGATATGGAGAACTCTACTAAAGTTTTTCCTATGATTCTCCAAACAAGAGTGATTTCTTAAAGAGTTCTTCACCATTTCAAGTATTTCTAGACTTTCTGCTCAATTTGTAGAAATCCACTTAATAAGCAATGAAGAGAGACTCAAGTCAAGGTAAAGCTCCAAATAGTAACACAAGAGATGCTCCTCCATCACCTCAGGACTCTCAATTGTATTAACCCAGAAAAACAAGGTGTTAGAATGAAACTGACAGAAAAAGAACTAATATACTCTTCGCTTCAGTCTAGTCAGGTATGGTGGCAGAAATGTTTCTTGAAAAACTTCCATCTTCTGCCAATAGATTTTCAAAGGAGACACAGAAGCTGCTAAGAAAGTATAATCTGAAGATGTCAGTGCCTCAAACTGTGCTTTGGAAAAAGCTCTATATTCTTAAATTACAAATCTGGAATACTAGACTGTGTAAAGCAGTGACGTACAAGAGAAAAAGGGTCATTGGCAAGCTCATCAGTGAAGCACTTAAGAAATGCTCATTCTCCTTGAAAAACAAGTTGGCTAAATCACATTCATTTTTATTATCATCTATTATTATTATTAAGTATGCTCTGTAGGTACTAGGAGAACCAACAGAAGAGACACTTCTTTAAAAATATCTCAAAGGAGAAACATGCACTGATGACCCAAAGGAGATAACCCCACTTCCACAAAATTTTAAAAACTAAACAAAAGACAGTAAGTATTGGAGAGAATGTGGAGAAACTGGGACCCTTGCACACTGTTGGTGGGAATATAAAATGGTGCAGAAGCTATGTAAAACAGTAGGGAGGCTCCTCAAAAAATTAAAAATAAAACTATCACATAATTTATCAATCCTACTTCTGGGTATTTTTCCAAAAGAACTGAAACCAGAAGCTCAAAGAGATATTAGCATTCTCATGTTCATTATAGTGCTATTCACAATAACTAGGATGTAGAAACAACTTGAACATCCACTGACAGATGAATATGGGATATACATACAACGGAATACTATTCAGCCTTTAAAAAAGAAGAAAATTCTGTAATATGTGACAACCGGGATAGACCTTGAGAACATTATGCTAAATGAAAAACATGCCAGACACAGAAAGACAAATACTACATAATTCTACCTATATGAGGTATCTAGCATAGTCAAATTCACAGAATCAGAGACTGGAATGGAGGTTACCAAGGGATGGAAGGAGGGGGTAATGGAGAGTTGTTAATCACAGGCACAAAGTTTCAACTAAATAAGATGAGCAAGCTCTAGAGATCTGCTATACAACATTGTACCTACAGTCAACAGTAGTACATTCTACACTTAAAATTTGTTATGTGATCTTGCCACAGTCAAATAAAATTATTTTAAAAAAAGAAAAAGGACTAGAGGAAAAGAAGGGAGGGAGACTGGGTTAAACAGAACCCTTATGTAGGCTCGCCTCAGTTGACTGTACCTCAACCAAAGGCCA